CGACGAGGAACTCACTCGCATGGGCTACGCGGCCGAAATTCCGCGCAAGTTCACCGTCTTCAGTCTGTTCGCCATCGGCTATGAGATTTGTGTATCGCCGATTGCCCTCATTGTCTCGTTGGGCGTGAGCATGGGCAGCGGCGGGCAAGCAACCCTGATCTGGGGCCAATTCCTCATTTACTTCATGGCTTTCTGTGTTGCTGTCAGTTTGGCCGAGCTTGCTTCTGCGTATCCAAATGCCGGAGGTCAATACTACTGGGCAGCTATGCTGGCTCCGAAATCAATTCGACGAGGTACTTCCTTTGTGGTCGGGTATCTCAGCTGGGCATCTGCTGTGTTCGGGTGCGCGTCGTCGCTGATTGCCTCCGCTGAGATGGCTGTAGCTTTGTATCAGCTCAAACATCCCGGCGCTCCGGCACCGACTTGGGCGGTCTTTGTCACGTACCAGGCTTTCAATATTGTCATGTTCTTCTTCAATTGCTGGGAAACTATAGTCACGAGATCCAGTCGCATGTGGCTCACGATCTCCATTCTCTCCCCGCTCGTCATCGTCATCGCTGTCCTCGCACGAACAGAGACAAAACAGTCCGCTGAATTTGTGTTCACGGGCTTTACAAATGTGACGGGCTGGAGTAATGGCATCGCCTTCGTGACGGGCCTCTTGGGCGTGAATTGGGGATTTTCGGCCCTCGACGCGGTGACACATATGTCCGAGGAGATACCGGATCCTCGACGAAACGTGCCCAAGGCACTGATGGCTACGATCTTTGTCGGGGCCGTTTTGGCCTGGCCAACGGCAATTGTGATGATGTTCTGCGTTCAAGACATTGAAAAGGTCCTCAAAACTGACACCGGGCTACCCTCTCTCGAACTTTTCCTGCAGGTCTTCCAGGGACAAAAGACAGGCCCAATTGCTCTCCAAACTTTACTCCTGGTAGCCTCGTTGGGTGCTGTCTTCGGGATCCAAACCTGGCAGACGCGCCTAGCCTGGTCCATCGCCCGTGATGGCGGCTTCCCATTGTCTAAGTACATTAAGAAAATCGCACCAGCCCCCTACGAAGTCCCCTTCTGGGCACACTTATGGTCCTCGCTATTCGTCGCCTTGCTCGGCTGTCTATACCTCGGCTCAAGCATCGCATTCAACTCATTCGTCGGCGGAGGCATTCTTATGCAATATGTCGCCTACTCGATATGCATCGTGCTGCTGCTCCATCGAGGACGGTCAAGGATCCCCCACGGCCCGTTCTGGTTAGGCAAACTGGGTTTGTTCTGCAATATCGTCACTCTGGTTTGGACGGCCTTCACGTTAGTGTTTTACTCGTTCCCGCCGTATTTCCCTACTACACCGCCTACGATGAACTATGTCTCTGTTGTGGTTGTCGGCTTTGCACTGGTCTTCTCGGTCTATTATTGGGCTTTTGGTCGAAAGAGTTTTACGGGGCCACCGGATGTGGAGTGAATGTGAATGAAGTGTATGAAGTAAGTATAGAAGCATAGAAACGTAGGATTTAGAATTAAGCCCTTTGAGCTTTTAGTCTTTAAGCATTGCATCTTTTGCGAGATATTTGGATCGTGCCACGGTACATGACTAGATACTGTAGGTCCTAGAACCTCTCTGTGCTGCCATATCAGGGTCGAAGTAATTTGTCTTAATTCACAACCCTCGTAGGCAGAACTGTTTTGAGTTGAATAGACCAGTGACCGGACCGAGCTTTGACCAGTTATCCTGTGCGGTAATCACATCATATCGCTAGTTTGATCGCCATTTCTGGCAAGGAGCAGCATGCCATTTACGTACCCATATACGTACACTCGCAAGATAATTGCCTAGGCATCATCATTATCAGACAATCAAATACTCATAAGCCAACCACCATTGCCGGCTCGTTCTAATCATATCTCACAGGGGCAATAGAAGACAAGAAGCGAAAAAGAAGTGCCATAATAAAAAGATTAGACAGAAAACCGTTTCATGATGGATCGCCAGGAATCCAACCACCACCCTTTCTTTTATCCCATCCGCTGAATGCAATTTCAGTCACTGCCGCATTACAAGCGGGCACATCCAAAGCCATACACGTACACACCCACACTAAGCACAAGCGCATTTCACAGGACTCTTCGAGGTATATGTAGGAGAAAAAGAAGCTAGCACACTCATGACCGGCCGTAGCGGGTCTTGCCAAAGGAGAAAGGCACGTAGCGGTACTTGATCATATGCTGGATTTGTCTCCGCACTGTACAACAACAAACACCCATCGTTAGAAATCATCGTTACAGACTGAAGGGAAGAGAGAAGAGGGGGGAGAACATACTCGTCAAGACAAACAGAATAATCCAGTAAACCACCAAAACGGGCCAGAAGACGGGGATGTTGAAGACGGTGAACCACGTGCACACGAAGCCGATGGCGATGGCGCGGGTGGCCGAGTGCCAGAACTTGAACTCGGGTAGACGACGCACAAAGGGCCGGAACTCGTCGTCCTGCTTTGTGGGCAGGCTGGCGACGTCACCGTCCTCCAGGCCTTCGTCGTGGGTGAGCGAGGGGTCGAATTTGGGGGTTAGGAAGGCCAGGAAGAGGTTGAGGAGGTAGATGCCGAGCGTGTAGGCGACTGCAATAATCGCCGATTGTTAGTTGGTCTTGTCTTGTTCCACTCCCCAGCTGTATGTATAGGACTCCATCCACGTACCAATGTACCAGCCTTGTGCGAGAATGATCCGCAGGAAGAAAAAGAAGAGAAGCACGCCGGAGCCGATCCAGCGATAGACCGCGTAGGGAGTCGTGGCATCGAGGTAGGATTGGTAGATCTGACGCAGGTGAAGTCAGTATAAAGAAAACCCTCCCGGCAGCAATAATGCGCGCAAGCCAGCAGCAATGGCGGCGTGGGTGTACGTAGATAAACTCACCCGGTTCAGGCGCGAGGTGTGCTGCGTCAGGGCAGTGAAAGGGGTCTGCTCGGGCTCAGGGACGTCCATGGTGAATCAGGCAAGACGAAGGAGCAATTGACTGGAGGAGGAGAGAAGGAAAGAAACGAAGACAAACGATTGATTGAGATAAGCCGAAACCAGACATTCTTTCCCCGTCAGGAGCGAAAAGTGTCCCTTGCCACTGTAGCCAATCAAAGCAAGGTCGATGCGCCACTCCGGTCAGGTGATCCAGTGGCTGTGCAGTATCTTCCTCTTAACCATTCCGGGACTAGCGCATTCACGTGCCCGCGCTTTGCCTCGGGATGGTTGGATGCGGGGACAACAACAACGGGAGGTATTAACAACCTCAACTTTCCTCGAGTTCTTCTCTGTGTGTTTCTGATTTGCACCCCAATCAAAATGTTCGCCCGTCGCTGTGCCCGTCTAGCCACTGCCCGGACTTCCGTCCCCTTGACCTCCTACCTGGCCCGCGTGCGGCCCTACTCCTCCGGCACCTACGAGCATATTCTAACCGAATCCCCGAAGCCTGGTGTTGGATTGAGTACGCCTTCAACATATCTAATGCAATCCGCCTGCTAACAGCCATTGCAGTTACATTGAACCGCCCAAAGGCACTGAACGCCCTATCCAGCCCGCTGTTCACGGAACTCAACGATGCCCTGAGCAAGTACGACAATGATAAGGACATTGGCGCGATTGTCATCACAGGCAGCGAGAAGGCATTTGCAGGTAAATACATATATCCTTTCATTGAAGGTCAGTACATCCACTAATTGACTTCAACAGCCGGCGCCGACATCAAAGAAATGGCACCCCTCACCTTCGCCGCCGCGTACACGAACAACTTTATCGCACCGTGGTCCCACCTCGCTACCTCCATCCGCAAGCCCGTCATCGCCGCTGTATCCGGGTACGCCCTCGGCGGTGGATGCGAGCTGGCCCTGATGTGTGACATCATCTACTGCACGTCGAAGGCAACCTTCGGCCAGCCGGAGATCAAGCTGGGCACAATCCCCGGCGCGGGCGGATCGCAGCGTCTCACGCGGGCGATTGGGAAGAGCAAGGCCATGGAGCTGATTCTGACGGGGAAGAACTTTAGTGGCAAGGAGGCGGGCGAGTGGGGCATGGCTGCGAAGGTAGTTGATGGTGGGAAGGAGGAGTTGCTTGAAGAGGCAGTTAAGACCGCTGAGACTATTGCGGGTTATAGTCGTGTCTCGGTGGTTGCAGCTAAGGAGGTCGTCAATAAGAGTCAGGAGTTGGCACTGCGCGAGGGAGTGGAGTATGAGCGGAGGATGTTCCATGGGCTGTTTGGGAGCAAGGATCAGAAGATTGGTGAGTTTCATTCAAGTCATTGCTCTATGAGGGTGGATTATGCTGACATTTTTCGACTGCAGGTATGACTGCTTTTGCGGAGAAGAAGAAGCCCGAGTGGTCGAACGAGTAGACTGTCCTAGGACCTGACCTAGATGATTGTAAAATGCTTTCCTAGAGTTACTATTCTCCAACGTAGAGAATACAAAAGAGTCTCAAATACTCCCCGCTCCGGCCCGCCGCAGCTTGGTTCCCCATGTATCATCAGCCTCTCCCCATCCACCAGCCGAGCATCGCCGGTCGGGTGCCACACTTCTACTATTCCAACGAACGATTGATCCTGACGAGGCCACATGCAATACTGCAACGTCCCGTATCGTATCGTAGAAAGCCCCAAGTGTGGTTTTATTTTTGCTGCCCGATCCAGAAGTGTAGCGGCACCGGGACTAATCCCACGGGCACTACCAGGCAGTCTTGAAAAGGGAGTGTTTCATCCTGCTCTTTTCTCCCTTCTTCTTCAATATTCGATTTTCATGTTTCGAAAAACAAAGTCGAAGGTAGCTCCGACGCTAGCCAGGGCTGTTACATAAGAATAAGTGATGTGACATGGCGGCGAGCATAGATTGGGTCATCATAGCAACTGGGAAAATCAGCTTACTGAAAGAATAGATACAAGAAAAATCGCGTAAATCGGCAAATGGAACTTGGGTCATATCCCCCAAAAAGGATTCCTCAGAGTAAACTTGGAGGGCGATGCAGCATCATATTCTCTCCAGTCGCACGTCCTCCCGAATGCGAATGCCATTATTACTAGCTCCATGCTGACCCACAAGGATTTCTTCATCACTCCGGTTATCACGAGTAATATACGTCTCGGTATGGCCCTCCTGTACAGGACTAAAAGACGTAGTAGTGTCCTTCGTCAGGTTCCGCATACGGAAGCGGGACGAATGGCTAGAGTCCTCATGCTTAACATATCTGCCCTCTGAACTCTCCAGATTGGATCCATGAACGATGATGCGATAGAGGGGGCGGATGGTGGGGATGCCAACGCAGATGAGAGTGACAGCCAGTTCCACGGCGGACCAGATTATCAGGTTCACGGTATCCTCTAGAAAAGGGACATATTGACCGATTAGTGGAGTGTAAAGGTTGAGAGGGTGGCTAATGTATTACCGGTGTAGTTTGAGCTGGACAGCCCACCTAGGTCGATTGTTCTGATAATTCCGCATACACAGGCTCTAGGGCGGAGGGTTAGCTAGTCTGCCACTGTAGAATGACACTGGAGTGACAAACATGAATCCCAGACTCAAACTGATTGCGATAGACATCTTTTCCTTGAACTTCATGTTAAGATTCCAGATGAAGAGCCATGGAAGAAGAGCAAAGTAGAAGTCCACAGCAGCACACCAGGCTAAATTGCATAAATATCAGCTGGCAGCGTATAGGAACAGTTGGGGAGGACAGTGAACATACATCCAAGTAAAACGGAGAACGGAGTGACTCTGACAATGGTACGCCCAGGGACGCGAGGGTCATATATGGATTCAGATGGAAGACGTTGGATCCAGAAGATTATGGCGGTCGCCACTGACACAATCAACAAGCTGACCATCGATACCCAGATTGATATGCGATGCCATTGCTTGATAACAATGCGGAGCAGGAAGATACCCAGCGACAGCTTCGCAATCGCCATCCCTAACACGGCAAATGTTTGACCAACCATCTCGTTATAGACGGCTTTAACGGCCTCATCCATTTCCAAGGTGGTTATTGACTGTCCGAATCCATGCACACCTGCGATCGTGAGAAAGATGGTGTACAGGAGCAGAAATACCTGGAACTCGGTCAGCATTGTGTCTTACTAGAATGATTCACGATGCTGAAACGAGCGAAGGCTTACCCAAGCCAGATTAAAGACGTGATCGTCCACCCCGAGTGCCTTGACTATGTAGACTCGTGTATAGAATCTGAGAGGGACCAGAATAAAAGAGATAAAAGTCATCGCCCACATCACCGCAATGGCACGAACACCCTTGCCAGCCAGCATCTTCAATTCAACTTGAGAAAGACGTTGTAATAAGAAGTGGACAAAGAGTACGGCGGATCGATGGACCCCAGAGGTTGCTAAAACGAGAGCAGACTGAGAAATCAGAGGATGGCATCTTCGAGATACAAATACATCATATCCTCAACCATGACCCCCTGATGAAACTGATAAAAAGACGAATCGGGATAACGGTTGTGAGCTGTCCGTGATCTGATCCAGACCCTTCACGTCGATCGTGTGCCTACGAGGATGGTTATAGTGAAACGAGAACAACCAAACTCTCTTCCACTCATTTCCATTTGTAGCATCGCTATACCGCCTCATTATGCAATCGCCTATATTACTGGACCATGGAGACAATGGTTATGTTTTAACTCGAGAATGGCCCGTGGTGGCGCTCGCAAGGGGCCCTCACAACGGTACTTTGTACTTTTTGTGCTTTTTCCTTTCCAACGGCACCAAGTCCGTGCATTCGACAGGTCAACTGTCACCGGGGGACGGCCCGCCGGGGGAAAGTCAAATGGGTTCCGGGTTACATTATTGACTAGTCAATTGGAGTTGATCCCTGCTTTGTCTCATTGGCACAATCGACCTGTCAAAATTTTAGCCGCCCAAGGCCACGGGCGTACTTTTAAACACGGCCGTGCGCTCGTGAAGCAGCATCTAGGCCCACAAAAAGGAGCATCTAGCTTTGACAATTATGTCGCTAACTGCATACGGGTCGTGCTCTCATTTCTGGGATGGACGCGATCGGCGCTGTCAGGTGAATAAGCCTTACCCATACACGAGCGGTCTATATATACCAGATTTTCGTGGCTTGGTTCAGGGGTGTGGTCACATCCCCCAAAATTGCTGTCAAATATTATCTACATAACAACATAGTAAAAGAGCCCCTTTTTGCAGCGATGTTTGGTTACGAGAATAAGGATGCTGCCACTACGATTGGCTATGCCTTGCTGGCAGGTCTCTCGATTTGGTATTTGACGACGTATGTCTTCTCACCGCTGCGCCGGTTTCCCGGTCCCTTCCTCGCAGGTAAGCCCACCAGTATCTTCCCAAGGCCGATTGGCCCCGGTGAATAGAGCCAGTTCCATGTTGACATGCCATATACCAATAGGCTGGACGAATCTATGGCGCATGTTTCACGTTCGACAGGGAAAGTACCAGGTGGTCATTCACGAGCTACACAAAAAGTACGGTCCGGTGGTGCGCATTGCCCCCAATGTGCTCGACCTGGATATACCCGAGTTGATCAAGACAATCTACAACACCAAAGCGGATTATCTGAAGGTGGGTGTCTCCTACTTCATGTGACGTTTGCTACTATTGACCATGACCTGTTACAGACCGAGTTTTATCATGGCAGTAGTGCTAAAAACAATGGCAAAATTATCTATAATCTCTTCAGCGAGTGCAATCCTGAAATCCATGCACAGCAGAAGCGACCCATCTCGAAACACTACTCCATGACGGGGGTGCTTCCGCTGGAGCCCCATATCGATGAGATGATTCAGTACTTCTGTCAACGCCTGGAGGAGAAGTTCGTCGATGGGTCCAACTCCAGTAAAACATGCGACCTAGGTGAATGGATTGCGTTCTGTAAGCCCCACCCTCGTCGATGCAATTGCCGTTACTTCCTGAATTCAGACTAATTAAATCGTCCAGACACCTGGGACGTGGTTGGCAAGGCCACATTCAGCCAACCCATTGGATACCTGGAAAAGGGCTATGACTTTGACAAGACCCTAAGCATCGCGAATGTCGCCATGGACTACTTTTCCATGGTGGGACAAATGCCAATCCTGGACCACTTGTTGGACAAGAACCCTGTTTACCGAATTGGCCCACCGTCTTTTGGAAACATCACCAACATATCGATCCAACACCTCATGGACCGACTTCAGAACAAAGACACCGACTACCATGACCCCAGCAAGCCCGACTTCTTGGACAAATTCATCGAGGCCAAGGAGAAATTCCCGGACGTGGTGGATGACATGCAAATCGTCTCGTATCTGATGATCAACATGATTGCAGGAGCCGACACAACGGGCATCACCCTTAACGCGGCATTGTACTTCTCCTTGAAGGACCCTCGCGTCTGGGAGCGCCTGAGAGCCGAGATTCCCGCTTATGATCCTACCTCTGGAACCACGGTAGTATCCTACAAATCCGCCAAGGGGTTCCCATATTTAGATGCCGTTGTCCGTGAGGCAATGAGATGCCATCCCGGTGTCGCCATGCTCCTGGAACGATACGTACCAGAGGGTGGTCTCGTCCTCCCCGATGGACGTTTCGTCCCCGCGGGCTCGGTTATTGGCATGAACCCCTACATTCTGGGGCGTAATACGTCTGTCTGGGGCGAAGATGCCGAAGTGTTCCGTCCAGAGAGATGGCTCCGCGATGAGACGCAGGAGACAGAAGATGCTTTCCAAGAACGTCTGCGATCAATGAACAATGCTGACCTTGCTTTTGGCGGTGGAAGCCGTATCTGCATTGGAAAGCATCTGGGCCTGCTAGAGGTGTACAAGGTTATTGCAACTCTTGTGTCGCGCTACGATATCAAACTGGCCCATCCGGAGAGGGATTGGGAGACCCATAATAGCTTTTTTGTGCGACAGACTGGTATCGAGGTGAAGCTTACTCGCCGGACCTAATAAGGTACTGCGATTTATGGCAAGATGGAATGGGGGAATGATCAACAGCGCACTAAGTCACTTGCTAGAGCAGCTTAAACAGAAGTGCCTGATTGATACAGGACAGGGCGTTGACGTTGATAGCTGATCGGTTTTGCTTAATTCAGATGCACTAGTTAAGTAGTTATTCTGTATCGGATCTTTTGAATATAGTGTATCGCTTTAAACAGATTATTATGTATGATATATATCGATATATGTACATTCATGATGATTCGCTCAAGGCAGAGAAGAAACAAGACAAACATCACCATGATACTCCTGGGCACATTAATTATACTCCTCTTTAGGGTTCTTCTCCACCTCGCTGGGATCCGTCGTGCCGCTCTTCTGCGCCCGGTACTCATTGATGACGCCCTCCTCGACCGTCTCCTCGAAGACGTCGACCTCAGTGACAGCGAACTTGCGGGCGCTGACTCTGCGCTCAAAGAGCAGATCCAGCTCCGCGAAAGAACGACCGCGCGGCTCAGGAACGCGGAAGAACGTGTAGATGATGCAGAGGAAGCAAATGCCGCCCCAGAAGAAGCCGGCGTAGTTGCCCCAGTTCCACGCGCCCGGGTTAAGCATGTAGGGGGTCAGCACACCGCAGATAATGGCGACGACGTTGTAGAGACAGCGGCCCAGGACGACAGTCTTGATCTGCAGCCGGCGCGTCGACAGCTCAGCCACGAGCGAGTAGCAAACCGTGCCGACGGTAAGCTGGTAGAACATGGCCCAGATGAGCATCATTGAGCCCGTGGCCAGGGACGATTGGTTACGGTGATCCTCGGGGACGAGTCCGAGGAAACCCATGACGAGCAGCATGGTGCACAGTCCGCACAGTCCGTACAGACAAAGCGAGCGGCGACCGATACCCAGAGTCATCAGGAACCATGCACCAAACACGCCCACCATGTTGATGCTATACTGACCCATGGCAAAGGAGTAGGAGGTGGACGAGCTGAGGCCGGCCTGTTCGAGGAAGTATGTCGAGTAGTTGGAGAAGGAGTTTCCGCTGAGATTCTGGATAGCCCACACCATGCAGACGATCTCGGTGCGGCGCAGATCTGTGCCTTTGAAACAGTCCCAGTAACTGGCACCCTTGGTGATTTTGGCCTCCAGGGCTGTGGTATGCACCATCATGGCAATTGTTTCCTCCGAATCAAAATCTGTTTCGCGGTTCTTGCTGGTAAGTCGCTCTAGCGCCCGTTTCGCATCCTGCGTGCGACCCTTTCGGACCAGCCACCAGGGTGATTCAGGCGCAATAAAAATGCCGATGAAAAGCGGAAGTGGCCACATCCACTGCAAGCCATACGGGATGCGGTATGCCCACTGGTCGTCCCGGTTCAACATTCCCTTGATCACACCGACACCAATGAGCTGGCCCAGGCCCCAGCAGAAGTTGACATATGTAGTCAAATACCCTCGCAGGGCGACCGGGCATACCTCGGAGGCGTAGGTGATGGTCAGAGTCTGGAAGACACCCCAGGGAATGCCGCTGAGGATCTCTGCTGCTAGCAGGGATTGCACGTTCTGGGCCGTGAAGAAAATGGCCGTCCAGGCGGAGATCAGGATCAGGCAAGCCATGATCGTGTACCGATATCCGAAGCGCTCCGAAGCCCAACCGTTGATGAACAAGCCGATGATCTCGCCGACATAGGCGCCGTTGCTCAGACCCGCTTGCCACTGTACATAGCCGACATTAGCATCCCGTGTTCTTATTCTTGCAGTGCGAAACCTACCGGTGCAGTGACTTGGTACGAGCCATTCGCCATTTGCGTGCCATACTTGTGATTGAACGTGTCGAACCCGTAAAAGTTGTTGACCAGGCTGATATCGTACCCCTCCATGGCAATACACGTCGAGATGAGGACGCTCCATGCAACGGCCTTGGGGTAGAGCTTGATGCCCTGCAACAGGGTCATGTTCTGCTCCTTTGCCGTCGCCGCCTTGGCATTCTCAATGACCTTGGTCATGGATGAGTCCGAGCCCGGACCCTCCGTAGTGTTGTAGTACTGGAGCTGCTCATCGCCAGGTTCGACGGCGGTCTCGATCGGGTCTTGCGCCTTGGGTTCCGCCATGCTGAGCGAAGGGAGAGAGGGTCAAATTGACTCCTGGGAGTTGGGGGAGGGGGTTAGATTTTTGAAAAACGGAGGCGTGCGGGAGTCAGGGAGAAGAAAAAAAAAATGTACCCACAAATTCCAAGGCACATTGCACGCGACCGGCAAAGGCCACAATGGCGCTCCTTTGGGTTTCTAATTCCCCGCGGGGCTGGGACGATGATTGGCGAGGAAGTTGGAGCTAGAGAGAATGAGGATAGGGCACAGACTGGGAAGAGGGAGGAATTTGCGGGGAGCGGGATGATTGGGTTGCAAATTTGGGAAGCTTGGCAATCCCAATGGGGAAACCCGGGAGAGTCTGGACTGGCCGTTTTCAATCTTCAGTAGTAGTAGTAGTAGAGTAGTAGACTACGCTTCTCATTATATTTACGAGCGGGAGAGAATTAAACCAGTAAGGTGCATATTTAAGCATACGCTCTGCCACGTGCGGCCACGAGTATCCCTTGCGGGCGCAAAGGTTAATTGCGGCCGGCCCGAGTTCAAGCGGCAGCGCTACATTCTTAAGCCATGGCGCCCGCCACCATTCTTTAAGTGAACCGGACACTCAAAAGCAGAGATACAATAATAATGCACCTAAACTTACCGGATTTCCTCCATAGATGGGACTGCCTATCTGGGCCGCCAGCCCTCCAGTGTGGGTACTGGTCTGGCTCACTACTAGGTACATTTCAGCACAGTGTTCCTCATCACAGTCACGTGCTCGACGAGCGCGTCTGATTTAGTTAAGCCCGGGCGTAGATGAAGACGAATTGACGATTGGCCGAATTACTACAATTCAAAAGTTTTCAAAATTCCTTCGAACTTCATAAATACCCCAGATATGGTTTGAGTATTCCTAGGATAAATTGAAATCTCCTATCAAGCTATTGTTGTTGAGATATCAAGTTGTAAAAATGCCACATTTACCATGGTGTACCAGGGTGGCCAACTCACGTGCGAAACACGTTAATCATACATCCACAAAGACTAGCAAAGTAATCCGATGTGGCAAGGGCTAGTTGGATGGTGGTCGATCAGCCTCGCAGGCAAGGGCCGGGCGATCCGTGGAGTAGATATGATATCATCATATGGTCCCTGGGGGCGATGCGAAACAAGGTCAAGAACATGGCCAGCTAACCCCGGATATTTAAAGAGACACCTACTCCCAGAGTTTGACATTTATTTTTCAACTTGTATACTACATCCAACTGGCAAATCGTCTCATATATACTCGAAAACCATGTCTTCCAACGAGAACAACGAGAATCGTAAGCAATTCTCTTCCCATATCAACAATTCACATCGCGATTACCGCTGTAGGATTTCGCAGAACTAAAGCTAACGCTACCATCTCAGCTAGCTTCATCGGTGGCATCGGCAATGCTCTGGGCAAGACAGTGGGCGGGGTGACCGACACTGTGGGAAATACCGTGGGCGGCCTGGGCAACACTGCCGGCTCTGCAGTCCAGGGAATCGGCCAGACAGTAAGCGGTGCTACTGAAGGTCTCGGCAATGCGACCAAGGGCGCTGGCCAGTTTGTGAACAACGCCGCTGGCGGGTCCAGCCAGAAGAAGACGGACGAGGGATCCTCTGGGCAGGCCTAGGATGTCTGGTTGTTGGCGATTCTTTTTATGAACAGAAATGATATACACGATTGAATTTTTTTTTCTGGCTTTGTAGTAAACTAGTGCAAGTGACCTGAACGAAATTTCGCTTGAATATGGTGTCGTCTTGCAGCGTATTTGAAAAATATATGAGGAAATGTGCCGTTTGATCAGCTCGGGATACGGGGGCTTAATACGCGATCCTTCGATGTGGCCGAAAAGGTGATCAAGGAAGTGGACTTTGGCGCAGTAGAGAGGGTCGGGTGTCCTTTTCTGTCCTTGTCACTGCGGTTTGGAGAGTCAGGCGAGGATGATGTGCTCTCTCTTCTCTGTGATGAGAATTTGAGCCCCAACGCCTCCGGGTCAGGATCGTGAGTGGAGGGAATCAGCACCCAAAGGTTCTTGCTTGTATGGCTTCTGGTCTCAGAAGGATGAAACGGGACTGAGAAGAGTTGGGTGGTTTTACGGCCTGGAATAAGGAATATATAACACTGTAAAACCGTAAATAGAGAATTCTTGCCAACCTATCCTCCCGAACAGCAACTATGCGCATATTTAGCAGACATGAAGTAGTCTATAGTCGATGTGATGTTTAATTACACTAAGTCATGCCAAGCTTACGTGCGCGGCTTGACTATGAGGCAAAGGTCGCGGTATCCCTGTCTGTTTTAGTGTTACTCCTTACTCGGCCCAGGATTTGTTATCAGATCCTTGGATGAAGTCTCCACCGTTTCGAAGTGCCGTAAATATCGCTACTACGGTACGACATCCCAATTAAGTAAAGCAACTCGGAGCGGATCAACAGCATTTCCTTTGACAGTGGCTGGGTTTCCGGGGAATTGTCATCGTGGGGCAGCTCCGACCGAGCAGTCGGAGGCCGGAGCTGGCCGCCTGTATATCGGTGGAAACGCCCGCCGGCAGTCCAACTGACATGTAGTTGGCAGTAGAGATGAAACTGTTTTAGAAGATACAGCTTTGGTTATTTCCGTCGTTAAAAAGTGATTTAGTATTTCACGATAAACTGGTTTGTTGTTCTTCAGGGTTCGGGTAGACTTGCTCTGTTGGAACAGGTCGAAGGCTGGATCGTCTTGCCTAAACGGGCCGATGACTAACGGAATGGTCTCGACAGGCTAACTAGATAGTCAGCAATCCTGTTGTCTGGTTGAGTCGATGGATAAAGCAGACAGTGAAAAGACGAGGCAATCGAGTCGATCTTCCTAGGTCGTGCAGAATAGAGGAATAGTAGAAAGAGGCACATGGTGTTGAGGCGTTAACTATGCGGAAATGTGCCTGACGAAACGGGTGGCAACGTACCTGGACCCGCCGAGCCAATCATAGCCCCGATGATTCCCCAAGGTCCATGGCTTCATCTTTTTCCCGCTGAACGTCTTTATAAAGACCCCCTTCGCCCCCCACTCGGTCTCCCTTCTCAAAGTATCACTTACTACGAATACTACCAGCATCATGGGCCACGACGACGAGCCGAGTATGTTGTTCATCTTCCTCGCTGATCTCCCGCAGCACGGGCCATCCAGAAGTATAGCTGCTCACACTGTTTCTTCTTCCTGCAGAGACCTACCGCTACAACGAGACTCCGGTCTATACCGCTTCTAATGGCTGCCCGGTCATGGACCCCCAGGCCTCGCAGCGCGTTGGCCCCAACGGCCCGCTGCTGCTGCAGGACTTTCACCTCATTGACCTGCTGGCACACTTCGACCGCGAGCGCATCCCCGAGCGCGTGGTCCACGCCAAGGGTGCCGGTGCCTACGGCGAGTTCGAGGTGACCGACGATATCAGCGACATTGTAAGTATTCTTAGAAGATTCAAAAGCAAAAGTCAAGAGCGCTGACAATCTACTCTGCGCAGACCACCATCGACATGCTCAAGGGCGTTGGCAAGAAGACCAAGATGCTCACCCGCTTCTCCACCGTCGGTGGCGAGAAGGGATCGGCTGACAGCGCACGCGACCCGCGCGGCTTCGCCATCAAGTTCTACACGGAGGAGGGCAACTGGGACTGGGTGTTCAACAACACGCCCGTTTTCTTCCTTCGTGACCCGTCCAAGTTCCCCATGTTCATTCACACACAGAAGCGCAACCCGCAGACCAACCTCAAGGATGCCACCATGTTCTGGGACTACCTGTCCACCCACCACGAGGCCGTCCACCAGGTGATGCATCTGTTCAGTGACCGGGGTACCCCATACTCGTACCGCCACATGAACGCCTACTCCGGCCACACTTACAAGTGGATCAAGCCCGACGGCACTTTCAACTACGTGCAGATCCACTGCAAGACCGACCAGGGCAACAAGACCTTCACCAACGACGAGGCCGCTAAGCTCTCCGCCGAGAACCCCGACTGGCACACTCAGGACCTCTTCAATGCCATTGAGCGCGGCGAGAACCCCTCGTGGACCTGCTACGTACAGGTTCTGAGCCCCGAGCAAGCGCAGAAGTTCCGCTGGAGCGTCTTCGACTTGACCAAGGTGTGGCCGCAGTCCGAGGTGCCTCTCCGCCGCTTCGGCCGCTTCACCCTGAACAAGAACCCGCAGAACTACTTCGCCGAGATCGAACAGGCGGCCTTTTCGCCCTCGCACATGGTCCCCGGCGTGGAGCCCTCCGCCGACCCGGTCCTCCAGTCTCGTCTCTTCTCCTACCCAGACACCCACCGCCACCGTCTGGGTGGCAACTACGAGCAGATCCCCGTCAACTGCCCGTTGAAGGGCTTCTCGCCGTTCCACCGCGACGGCTACATGAACGTCCACGGCAACTACGGCGCAAACCCCAACTACCCGTCCACCTCGCGCCCGCTCGCCTACAAGCCCGTCAAGGCGAGCCAGGAGCACGAGAAGTGGGCCGGTGCTGTCGTGGCCAAGCAGCTCCCCGTTACGAGCGAGGACTATGTCCAGGCCAACGGCCTCTGGCAGGTCCTTGGCCGCACACCGGGCCAGCAGGAGAACTTCGTCAGCAACATTTCGGGACACCTGTGCGGTGCGCAGGAGCGTGTTCGCAAGGCTACCTACGAGATGTTCCGTCGTGTTAACAGCGACCTCGGCGCTCGTATTCAGGCTGCTACTGAGGCTAACGTCAAGGGTGCGCCGGCATCTCGTCTGTAGATTATTTGTTTCTGTTTGCTTTTCAGAGCCATTAAAATGTATATTTCTTAGCACTTCTCAATATAGCCTTACTGTCGAAGCTTCTGCCGAGACTGATTTTTTCCATCCTGCTGGCAACACATAAACATGTTCTTCGAACTCTTGCAGCCTTCCCAGTAGATCCGGGATCCTCCAATCAAGTAGTCAGAGAAAGATTGAGTGGTTTATATTAGAAACGAAAGGTATGGGATGGAGCCACTGGTTACGTGGTAGGAGTTGGCCAACAGATCTGTCTGTGCGCTACGTATAGTGTCCCCCACCTGAGAACCAGAGCGGTTGATCATAATAGTCTTTTTGACTTAGGTGGGAAGGATGTACGTGGGCGGACTCCTCGCATTACACCACAGTGCCTGCATGCTTGGCCTTAATAATGATCACAAACCATCACTGCTCCCAAATGGGCTTCTATTGTTCTGACACTGTGTGGCCAGGCAACCACGAGTTGTGTACATTTCTATGAACGAAAATAGCATTCTGTCTTTCTTGTATTTCAATATAGGCATTCGTCGACCTCGAGTTCTATCATGTGTTGAGAGTGGGACATGGGGATTGAATCCCTTGACTTGTGTGGAACCGGATTGGAGAGGCTGGGGAGGTTCCAGGGCGCCGTTTTCGTGCGCGTGACCAGCTTTGTGCATAGCTTGGGGGTCCCTGTCGACAGCTCTGCGGCCTGTTCTTCAGTTCCTGATTCTTCTTGTATTTCAGTCGATTGAATAACCGACGATTGATTCTCCTCCTGCATCTCGGCCAAAATAGAGGTTGAATATATGGTGTCCGGGTGATTGGGTCCTAATCTCTGGTTGCGCAGTTGGACGCATTCCGTCATCAAAAGCAAAGCATCTTGATCTTTGCCTAACCCATCCCAGGTAATAGCAAGGTTATGCATGCTGGACAGAGTAGATGGATGCTCTGGTGCAAGAACCCGTCGACGAGTCTCCATCACCTGTACGTCTAGCTCTTCGACGTTACTCCATCGTTCCTGATTCCAGTATGTCAATGACAAAGTCTAAATCGCGACGAAATGGGACAGTTGATAGAGGACTCGGTGGAGTTTCTGGTTGTTCTAGACGGAAAGTAACTCTGTTGGTCAAATTTGATCCCAGCAAATTCAGAACCTTAAAACACACCCGCAAAATGGATCGGACCGTTCTTTACGCCAATCTGAAACCCTCTGTCTTGATTACCAGATGCTATCGATCTCATGATTGCTGTATTACACAGTTCGTGATCTGAAGGTTGTGAGACACGGAAACCAAGTGCGGGGCATCCGGGCCGACCCTAGTACCGCGTAGTCTAATCATATGACTTGGCTGTCCCAACTCGAAGGAGAAGAGTGATTCCCCCTCGTCAGCGACTTGAGTACCTGCCATCATCATGGCCGAGCCATTGAGCACCACCGCAAGTGTGATTGGCGTTATTGCCCCAGCTTTGCATGGAATACGGCTTCTTTTGGATGACATAAAAAAGATCAAAGACGCCCCTGAGACCATCCAAAGCTTACAGGATCACTTATATCGAGTCAGCCTGGCACTTTCCTCTCTTCAGGGCGTTGAACCCGAAGAGTGGGAGTCATTGGGTTCTAGCGTCGCAGACCAAGCCAAATCAACCATTCAGTTCTGTGCAACTACATGCGATCGATTCAGAGCCGATCTCAAACTTTGGACGAGCCATTCTCACGGGGGATCATTTTCGTGGCGGGATCGAGCCAAAGTGGGCTTCATAAAACAAGGCGAAATAAAGTCGATTCAGAGACAACTTCAAAACTGCCAGGTCACCATTAATTCAGTGGTTAGCATAGCCACATTGTGAGTTACTCTACCACGCCAGGTTCTAGGTCCTATGAG